AGCTACCTTTATATACTGAATCACCTCTTCAGTCTAAATATGTTGAAGAACAGCCTGGCCATTTACAAATGGGCTTTGCTTCCCTTCGCACTACAACTGGCTGGTGCAAGGTGAGTAAACTCTTGATAGTGATTTATAATGGAAGATTTTTTATTTGGATTACATACATATTTGGTATTATATACCAGTTATTCCAGTTGATAAGTAACAAAGTATCCCCAAACCTAATGACTTTTAAAGAACAAATGTTCTATGATGTCTCTATGTTGTATATTTTGGTCAGAATTCAGCCACATGATTTTTACATTGTATGTCATGTTGACGTTGAACTCTCAGTAATTTTGAGCTGGCAGATGGACTATTGTGTAGAGCCCAAAACAGCTTCATTTGCATCTCTGGCATCTTGTCAGAGATGACTAGATAGACTAGGCTTACCTAGAATTGTTGACTAGAATACCTGCACATGCCCTCTCAAGCATGGTTGTTTCAGAGTATCTAGGCACCTTATATAAGTAATCCAGGGTTCCCAGAGAGATTGTTCCAAGAGGTCCTAGGCATAAGTTGGTAATCAAATTACCTGTGAAGTTTACTGTTCAAAATGGCTTTCCTTGCCACTGAATTTGACTTTGCCATGTGGATGGGTGGGAATATATGAATAGGTTATGTTAGCTTATCCACAAGAGGATTGGTTAGTCTCAGCAGTCCATAAAGGGATTTGTTAGTTTCACCAGTCCACAGAGGGGATTGGCTAGTCTCACCAGTCCATAAGGGAATTGGCTAGTCTTGCCATTAAATTGAGTGATTCCAGATCAGAAAGGTAGAAACCTCACCACCAGAAAAGAGCAATCAAGAGAATGCAACTTGTCCTTCAGTACAAGAGCACAGCCACAGCAGCTGAAGCAGAGCACCAGAAACCCAACATAAGATGGAGCTGACGTTGGAACTGCTACCTACCATGGAACTAGAGCTAAGATCCTTTGCCCAAATTTGTTGGACATTTGGAGGACTCAAGGGGAGTGTGAAGAGCCATAATTTTTGTCAGGACTGAGAACTTTGGAACACTGGTGTAAAACCATGAGGCTCAAGGCTGAGATACCTGTGAGCACATTTCAGAATCTGTCCTGAGTGACTTGTGTTTAGCTTCTAACCTAGATTAAGATCCCCTAACCTCTTGACTTCCTCAGTGTGGTTCTTTGTGATCTGTGAGTTATTATATTAGATTTTTGACCCAGTTAAGCAGTAAGATTGATATTGAGATGAGTTGAAAGAGGTACAGGAGCATAGGGAACATGTCTAACCTCATGGAAATTGTTTTTTTTGTTGTTGATACTGTTGACAGGAACATTACCACTTGTGATCGTAAAGGTCAGATATGGCTGTCCCCACACAACTCTTGTTCTTTTTACATTACAATTTTTTAAATGTCTAAGAAAGCCACTTTTGGAACGCTTATCTTAATGGCGGGTGGTGGCCACTGACCGGGTCACAGATAACTGCTGCTTGCACGGGGAAGCTTTTTCCTGTCTCTCACTTTTTTGCCGCCAGTGGCCAAGCTCGCCAACATGTCGGTGGTGCCGCCCAATCGCTCACACACTGGTTGGCCCCGGGGCGTCAGCCAATTCGGCAACAAGTACATCCAGCAAACTAAGCCCCTCACCCTGGAGCACACCATCAACCTGTGCCATAGAGTCCAGTACAACTCATAGCAAATATTAGAATGTTCGATCTGAAACCTGCCCGATCCTGTGCCATCCTCATCATCTCTGCAACTCTAGAGCCCATTGCCACCAACATACATCTAGTTTTTGTTTTTATAACAGATACCCTCTTACCAATTACACTTTTGGCACAAAAGAGCCCCTATATGAAAAGGACAGCTCTGTTGAAGCCAGATTTCAACACATGAGGGAAGAATTTGATAAAATTGGAATGAGGAGAACTGTAGAAGGAGTTCTGATTATACATGAACACCGCCTACCTCATGTGTTACTGCTTCAGCTGGGAACAACCTTCTTCAAATTACCTGGTGGTGAACTTAGTCCAGGAGAAGATGAAGTTGAAGGACTAAAACGCTTAATGACAGAGATACTAGGTCATCAGGATGGAGTCCTGCAAGACTGGGTCATCGATGACTGCATCAGTAACTGGTGGAGACCAAATTTTGAACCACCTCAGTACCCATATATTCCTGCACATATCACAAAACCTAAGGAATATAAGAAGTCATTTCTGGTTCAACTTCAAGAGAAAGCCTTGTTTTCTGTTCTTAAAAATTACAAGCTGGTAGCTGCACCATTGTTTGAATTGTATGACAGTGCACCAGGATATGGACCCATCATTTCTAGTCTCCCTCAGCTCTTGAACAGGTTCAATTTTATATACAACTGAATTCTGCGCACTGGCGAAGTAAAAGAAGCCGTCTCTGTGAGCACAGCTATCAACAGTGTAGAATAAGAAAAATGGTCATGGTTGACAAAGATTGTTTTCCTCTTTCCTGATCCCTCAGTGCTCCCTAATTTCCATTATTTGAATAGTAAAGTTAATATGAGTAACTATATAGTGCTGTAAACACATGTGATAATGTTTAATTTCCTTTTGGTTCTATTCATACTTTTTTGTACAACATTACACAAGTGGATTTCTATTTGTATTTTTAACTTCACATTAAACTTTTAAAATTCTTAAAAAAAAAAGAAAGCCACTTTCATAACATTCTGTTGTTCATTCAAGGCACTAAGACTAGCCTGGTTTTTTAAAGGCAGAGGAATCAGATGCCAATAGGAGCAGCAGTAATTAATGTTTTTATAGTCTTTCTCTTATTTCTGGTTTATTTGTTTTATTATGATTTGAGTAGAAGTTTTCAAAGCAAATTGATTTTCCATTCATCCATTAATGCTCAATTTGTTTTATGGCATTAATTATAATACACAGAATGTAATCTTACTCTTTGTCTTTTCTCCTGTTATTCTCATTTCTATGAATCTTTACAGTCTATCCCTTCCTATCTTCTGAACTTTGCCTCTAGATGAGTGCTTTTTGTTTTTTGTCTTGTACGGTATATTCTAAAAAGTGAGTGCCTTCCTGATTATATTGTTCACGTAATAAACATGTCTATTGTTTGGTTGCAGATTGAGCCATAGAAATGAGTTTTGGTCAAGATTCGAAGGGTGGATTTGGTCATTATGTCAGTCTCTAGGACAAATAAACCTGACCATTTTTGTGTTTGTTTGTTTTTATTTTGTTTTACAATTTTTTGTCCATCCTTCTACTGTGGTCCCTTTTAGAGTGGTCAGCAGTGACAACTGGGCATACTATTTCATGTGGTCTCAAGGTACCAGGAAAGACGTTATGGCCACATTTAATGTATTATACCCCCACTGTATAAGTCAAAATAATTTAACAAATATGCATATTATAACAAAAAATTTTAAGATCTTTTTTTATCCTTCTATAAGAATGCCTGAGATTACTTCTGAATTGTTTATTGATTAAACAAAATGTTGCTTACATGTTAGATGTAGCTTATGAGGTCATTCTGACTATAGTCAGCTACTGGGCAAAGTAAAAAATCTCCTGATTTTAATGTTCAACCTTCATTTAGCATTAACCAGCAGTGGAATGCATAATAATAGAGCCAGCTAATAAACATCGTCATTATCATTATATCAACATAGTTGTGCTAGTATCAGTATCACAGTTGTCAGTATCTGAATGGTAATGGTGGTATCAATGTTTTTATCATTCTAGTATCATAACTACATAACTTTTTCACAGATCTAGCCTCTCCTATGGTTAATTCCTGTGGTATTTTTTTTTTACTTTCCAGTCCATTTTGTTTGAAAGAAATTCTAATGATCTAGGAAAATTTAGCATATCCTTAAGTAAAACACCAAGCTTACGAATTCTGATCTTTCCATATGCTGTTTCAAACTTCTGATGAATACATTATGTTATTTTTTAAAATGTGTGATTTTCATATACTTCTTTTAATAATAGTACTGCTATCTTTTGGATATACAATGCATATTCTTATTAATAATTTAATCTTGGGGCGAAAGATATTAACTAATTGAGGTCTGAATCATGCTCCTGACTGAGTGACTCAGGCTTAGGTGTCCTGAGACCAAATTATTTTGCAAATTGATTTTTCTATAAAAATGCAATTCTTTCTTAAAAGATTACTTTTTACCTCTAATTGCAGTTTATATTAAACCTAGAATCATGTAGGGCAGATTAAAATGATATTTTCATGTGTTGTTGTTATTCTTAAAGTTATTGCTGTTATGTGCCATGGAGTCAACGACAGCTCATGGCAACCATGTGAACAGTGTATCTGAACTGTGCCCTATCCTGTGCCATTCTCATCATCTCTGTCACACTTGAGCCCATTGTTATAGTTACTGTGTCAGTTCATTTCATTTATGATCTTCCCCTCCTTCACTGACCCTCTACTTTTCTGAGCATGATCAAGTAAAAAAGGAATAAGATAAATCTTTATACTTTTGTAATATCTTCTCTCTGAGTTGCTATACATTTTTATAGACATCACTTTTCTTCATTTATATGAAGAAAATAAACACATTACATGTTAACTAAAATGGAAAGCAAGAAAACAGAACCTAAATATCCTCATAATGATTAAAAAAAAGCTAACTGTAACAACACTACATACAGTGCTATTATTAATCTCTATTCCTAAAATACTAGGAAATTTACCTATCAAGTAAAAGTTTTCATATTTCAGAGATATAACCTATTTTATGTTATTATCAACCACTTAAAAATGCAAATGTTATGTTTTCCTTTTAGGATGTATACGTATTTGTGAAAAATGAGATAATGGACACAGTAAAATTTGTAAAAGGTAGGTAGGTGAGTAAGCTTTCCATAATTAGAAGTGTATGTTTTTGGTTTTGTTTTTTTTTACATTGAAAACTTTAAATGTGAGAAAAATGAACATGATGTTTTATCCATTGTCAACCTTGTGCCAACTCACAAAATATTCTGTAGCAGTTTTTAAAAAATAATAACAGTTTTAATTATGATTGTGTGTTTAGCATTTTACATAATTTGTCTCATTTTTCCAGCAATTCTGTGAAAATTATTATTGTAATTATCACCATTTTATAAATGAAGAAGCTAAGGGTTAGAAATGTTCAAGAGGTTACCAGAGTCACAATACTAGTAAGTGGCCAGTGGCTGAATTTAAATTAATGTCCATTTTAACTATAAATACATATTACATACTCATAAAACATAAATCAAAATGTCTCCTTCGTTTTTGATATAAATGTTATTTGCTGTTAAAACATAGTATTTTGTAATCAATTGTATATTTTTGTTAATGTTGGAAAGCATTGTATTGGACTTTGTAGTTTGTTACATGATGTTTAGCAACAGATATAACTTTGTAATATGCTTGGCTTAAGCCAGTTGTCAAGATATAGATATATTGGAGGATAGAAAGGTCAGCTAAAATTTTAGATACCTCTAGGTGGCTGTGGTGACAAGAAGCTGCACTGCAGTCCCAAAAGGCAAGCAGTTCAAGGCCACCAGCCACTCTGCAGGAGAAGGAAGGACAGTCTCCTCATGTGTGATTAACTGCCTCTGAAAACACACTGGAGGGTAGCTGTGGGTTGGTTCTGACCTTACAGTACACAACAACAGATGGCTTAATCTGTAGAGAGTTGTGCTGCTAACTTAAAGGTGACCAGATCAACTCTACCAGTGGCTCTGCTGGGGAAAGATGGGCAGTCTCCTCTCATGCAATTTACAGGCTTTCAAAACCTACTAAAGATGGCTTCAGCTTAACGGCAATGAGTTTTATTTTTTTTTCCCCTTAAGAAATTAATAGTCCATGCTTGAATTGCCAATATTTAATATTTGTAGGAATTAATTTACATTTATATCCCTCATCAGTCTTGAGGAATGTACTTAAATAAGTGATTACTATTGTATTATTAACTGTGATAGAAGAATGTATTTTTAATTACATAGAACCAAAAATAGTTTAAATATGTACAAAATCAAGAATCTTCTACCCATTCATCATCCATCTCTTTTTATTTAGGTTCACCTCTCATTGTTGATCATTAGTTTTACCCAAGAGCAAACTGCTCTGAGCATTGAGGAGCAGTGTCAAACAGGATCTAGTAGCAAAGTGAATCCCTGCAGTGTTAGTTGAGGTTGCCTAATAGAGTGTGTGTTTTGCTTTTTATAGAATCATACCAATTTTTTTAAAAGAAGTATGGGCAGTCTAGGGATATTACACATACATAAATCATAACCCATAGTAAAGTGTATACTTCAGTACCATATTATTAAATACTAATGATTATTGGTATTATTATGAAAACACACTTCTTCAAAAGCTGAGCATATTAAAAAAAAAAGCTGAACATAGAAATTCCATATGACCCAGCTATTCAACCACTTGGAATATATCCTGAGAAAAAGAAAACCGAGGCACAAACTGAGATTTGTACACCAGTATTCATAGCAGCATTACTCACCATTGCAAGAACATGGAAACAGCCAAAATATCTAATCACAAACAAATGGATTGAGAAATTATGGTACATTCACACAATGGAATACTATGTAGCATGCAGGAGCAATGATTTTGTAAATTATTACCTAACTTGGGAGGGACTGGAGAGCATTGTGCTGAGTAAATTAGCTCAGTCCCACAAGGATAAATATTGTATAAAACCATTATTATAGGATGAGTATAAGGATCCAAGAGGGGTAGGAGAGGGTGGGAAGCAGAGGGATGAGGATGTGCAGGGGGAGGGGGAGATTAATCATGGGGTTGTACAATTTGATGGGGGAAGAGTGAGGGAAATTGAAAGAATTTATTCTTAAAACAATGTATTCAAATTTTGTAAAAAACTAGTGGAAACCCAAATATTCTCCATCTATGATCACAGATTCATCTGAAGAAAGAATGTCACATTTGGACCTGGCCACATTTCAATAGTAGGAATCAATATGACAGACTTCTCTTGCTTAGAATGAGAAATCTTTTCCTTACTGACTTAATCACCCCATGCACACTGTCCTTGCCACACTAAAAAAAAACATATGATTTAGATCCAGATAAAAAAGAAAACCAATATCAGTAAATCAAGTCTTTAAGAAAGACTTTATTTTTTAAACAAGTTCTTGTCATAATTATCTTTTAAACTGCTACTTATTTAATTTTTTTTATAGTTCTTTTGAAGAATATTTAAACCATTATGTTAAAAAATACTCTTAATCTTTCTGCATAATACTTATGTAGAATATCCAGTTGTGGTAAATAATTAATTTTAACTGATTTTTTTTTGAGATGCATATGCTTATCTGAAGAATCCCCCTGAAGATTTTCTTCCTAAAGTTGGAGTGATAACAGTTTCAGGATTAGCAGGCTTGGTTTCAGCAAGAAAAGGTAGGGTTTAAAACTTATGTTCTCCTTTCTATTTCATTATTTTACTTTTTGAAATTTACTGCCATGAGGAAACATTATATCCCTTTAGGATGGCACAGGATAGGGAAGGGTTTAGGTCTGTTGTTTATAAGGTTGTTATTAATTCTACACAATTCAACAGCAACTAAAAACAACTATAAACAGTTTTAGTTTCTGTAGGATAGCATGATTACTTAAATAAAGGTTATTGTTTTAAAAATTATAGCTGCTCCAGAAGAAGTCTAGCATTGTAAGTCATCAGGGAAATACTTTATGAAATACATTAACAAAACATTTAGAATGGCTAAAATGAAAAAGACTGACTATACCATCTGTAGTGAAGGATGTGGAAAAATAGAAATTCATACATTGCTGGTAGGAATGCAAAATGGTACAGCTATTTTTATTCTATAATGGTTTGCATAAAAAATTTGTATACATTGCTTTTAGTTCATGTGCATTGTGTTTCACACATTCCTTCTTTTACATTATGTTTTATAAAATTAGGCATCATTGATCTATGCCTATTATTATCCTGCCTTTTCAGATCCACACTGAATCTTTCTTAATTCTTTCACATCCTCCATTCTCAGACCAAACTCTGAGATCTTGTAGTGGTACAAGTCTCTTCAGCGATCCTGTCTCTTCTCCTTTGGACTTTTATACACATCTTACTAGTTATCCTTCCATTTTTAAAAAATATTTTTTTTAAAACAAAGGAATTGTCTTATTCACTTGTGGCTTTCCCATTTGGGAATGCTGTCAGACTCTCTGGCTTCTTCATGCTGAACAGGGGCATTTATTTCAAAGGGGAAGGGGAGCCCACTGTAACACCTTACTGGTGGTCCTGGGTTGAAGCCTTCTTATTCAGTTAGAAGATATTTTCCTGAGTTTTACTGCCCTCTGGACTGCAAAGTGTTTGCCAAGGTGAGTCCAATGGGGATGGCTGACTGAACCCTGAAGCTCCGTCCTCCTTCACTTCCTTAGCTCACAGTTCTGTTTCCCTTTTGTCTCTGGAACTGGATTCAGGGCCCAGGCCTAGAGTAAAACTCAGTATTAAGGTTACCTGCAGGAAAGGGAGGCTGGATTCTGAGGAGAAATGTGGGGTCAAGATTGGTGGAAGATCTATCAACAATCTGCTATATGCAGATGATATAACCCTGCTTACTGAAACTGAAGAGGACCTGAAGTGCTTGCTGCAGAGGGTCAAGGACTGCACCCTCCAATACGGATTGAGATTCAATATCAAGAAGACAAAGATTCTCACCACTGGGCCAATTGGCAGCATCAAGATGGATGGTGAAGAGATTGAAATTGGTCACAGCTTCAGTTTGCTTGGCTCCACAGTCAACAGTCCTGGCACCAGCAGCCAGGAAATTAAAGGACGTATTGTGATGGGAAAGTCTGCTGTTAGGGACCTCTCCAAACCACTGAAGAGAAATGGTGTCTCTTTGGAGACCAAGGTGCGTCTGATACAGGCTATCACTTGTTATGCATCAGAGAGTTGGACAGTGACTAAGGTGGATAGAAGGAGAATTGATGCCTTTGAGCTGTGGTGCTGGAGAAGAGTATTGAGAGTACCATGGACTGCGGTTAAACCGGAATGAGCCTTGGAGGCAAGGATTCTGGGGCTTCATCTGACATACTTTGGTCATGTTGTAAGGAGAGACCAGTCCTTGGAGAAGGACATCATGCTTGGGAGGGTGGAGGGCAGGCGCAGGAGGGGAAGGCCCTCTATGAAGTGGATTGATTCAGTCACTGGGGTAATCGGGATGGGAGTGTCAGAGATAGTGCAATTGGCACAGGAGAGAGCAGAGTTTAGGGCTGTTGTACATAGGGTCGCTATGAGTCACAAGCGACTCGACGGCACATAACAACAATAACAAAAAATAGGAAAGGAAGCAAATATGAGGTTCTACCCCTAGGGAGGGGTAGGCTGCTGGCTCCATCTCATGTCAGATGTCTGATTCTCTGCTTTGGCTATGGCTGCTGCTGCTGTAGCTATCCTTCCATTTTTACAGTGACGGTTTATGCAGTCTTTGCCCACATGAGACTAAGTTCACTCAATATAGTGTTCTCTAGTCTATATCATGTTATATAGTTTTGTTTTTTTATTATTTTCCTTTTTAAATTAATTTTAATGAAAGTTTACAGAGACTTTGGATTTCAATTCATTCAGTATTGCACTTTTCTCCCTGCCCACCTCTCCCTCCTAATTCACTCTTCTCTTTGAAAAGTGAAAGACAAATTCTTTCATTGTTATACAATCCCTCTTCCCAACTCCGCTCCACTATACAGCCTTCATTCTGGAATTCTCTCCCTCATCTGTGTCAATGCGTTATGCATTATTTATCCCTCTTTTCTCAGTCTCCCCAGCCCCCAACCTCAATGGCAGTCCCGTTTTACAACAGTGGCATTATGCAGTATTTGTCCTTTTGTGCCTGAGATATTTCAATAAGCATAATGTCCTCCAGGGTCACCCATTTTGTATATTTCATGAGTTCCTTGTTTTTCCATGCAGCATAGTATTCTACTGTGTGAATATACCAGAGCTTCTCTATCCATTTGTTTGTTGGTGGGCATTTGGGTTGTTTCCAACTCTTTGCTATTGTGAACAAAGCTGAAAAAACATGGGTATTTATATATATATGCTTGGTGGCAGTTCTGGTTTCTTTAGGGTGTATTCCCAGTAGTGGAATCCCTGGGTCAAATGGTATTTCTATTTGCAACTTTTCGAGAAAGTGCCATACACCCTTCTGTAGTGGTTGCATTGTTTTACACTCCCAGCAACAGTGAATAAGGGGTTCCAATTTCTCCGCAACTTCGCCAGCATTTGATGTTTGCTATTCTGTTAAATTTTGCTCTTCTTACTGAGGTGAGATGATATCTCATAGTTGTTTTGATTTGCATCTCTCGCAGAGCTAGGGATTTTGAACATTTCTTCATGTGTTTGTTGGCCATCTGAGTATCTTCTTTCGTGAAGTGTCTGTTCATATCCTGTGCTCATTTTTCAATTGGGTTGTTTACCTTTATCTTCTTGTGGTGGTTATATAGTATTTTTTAAAAATCATTCCTCCTGAGTGCTGCATAGTATTCTATCATACAAAAATACCACGATTTCTCTGTCCATTCATTTGTTAAGGAACATTTTGGCTCTTTATTTATTTTTTTTTTGCTATTGTGAATAACACTGCTATGTACATATATGTTGAAATCTCCATTTGTGTGTCAGTTCTATTTTTTTCAGGGAATCTTCCCTGCAGTGGAATAGCAGGGTTGTATGCAATTTTTTTATGTTAGCATTTTGAGGAAATGACGAACTGCCTTCCAGGATGTTTGTACCATTTACCATTTTACAATGCCACCAACAGTATATGAGAGTTCCAGTATTTTCACATCTTCCCCAACATTTATTGCTACCCGTTATGTTAAACTTTACCACTGCTACTGGGCTGAGATAGTATCTCATTGTGATTTGGACTTTTATCTCTCTTGTTGTCAGTGATTTTATGGAGACTAATATTCAAATATACATTCCTACAGCTAAAGCCAAAGAGGAGGAAATTGAAACTTTTTCCCAAGTCTTGCAGTCTGAAATTGACCAAACATGCAATCAAGATGTATTAACATTTGGTGAATGCGGTGCAACAGTTGGAAACAATGAATAAGGAATGGTAATCGATAAGTATGGACTTGGCGAAAGAAATGAGGCTAGGTATAGAATGACCAAATTTTATATGTTCAATGATTTAGTCATTGAAAATACCTTCTGGAAAAAGAAAAACAGCACCACAAATGGAGACTTTACACATGGACCTCACCACATTGGCTGCACATGAATCAGATTGACTACATCTATGGAAGGAATCATTGGAGAAGCTCATTATTAGCAGTCAAAATTAGACCAGCGGTGGACAGTGGGGTCAGACCATCAATTACTCATCTATAAGTTCAAACGGAGGCTGAAGAAAATGAAAGTAAGTCCACAAAAACCAAAATATATTCTTGAACCTATTCCATATGAATTTCAAAATTATTTAAAGAATAGGTTTGAAGAATTGAGCACCAATTATCAAAGACCAGTTGAATTGTGGGTTGACATCAAGGATATCATCCATGAAGAGAGCAAAAGGTCATTATGAAGGCAGAGGAAAAATAAAAACCAAAATAGATGTGAGAAGAGTCTAAAAATTCCATTACAGCATCAAGAAGTCCAAACAGAGTGGGAAGATGCTGAAATAAGAGAGCTGAACAGATGATTTCAAAGGACAGCTTGTGAAGACAAAGCCAAATGTTATAATGGAATGTGCAGAGAGCTGGAATTGGGGAATGAAAAGGGAAGAACTTGCTCTACATTTCTCAAGTTGAGAGACTGAAAAACAAATTTAAGCCTCGAGTCTCAATATTGAAGTACGCTGGGCTCTATGAGGAGGAGTGTGGCATCAGGATTAAAGGAGTACTCATCAACAACCTGCATTATGCAGGTGATATATCCTTGCTTGCTGAAATTGAGGAGGACCTAAAGCACTTGCTGCAGAAGGTCAAGGACTGCAGCCTTCAATAGAGATTGACGCTCAACATTAAGAAAACAAATATTCTCACCACTGGGCCAATTGGCAGCATCATGATAGATGGTGAAGAGAAGGAGATTGTTAACAACTTTAGTTTGCTTGACTCCACAGTCAGCACTCTTGGTAACAGCAGCCAGGAAATCAAAAGACAAATTGCATTGGGAAAGTCTGCTTTTAGGGACATCTCCAGAGTATTGAAGAGCAATGATGTCAGTCTAGAGACTAAGATATGCCTGATCCAGGCCATGGTCTTTGCAATTACTTGCTATGCATCAGAAAGCTAGACAATAACTAGGGGTGATAGAAAGAAAATTGGTACCTTTCAGTTGTGGTGCTGGAGAAGAGAATTGAATGTACCATGGTCTACTAAAAGAACAAACAGATTTGTCCTGGAGAGGGTGAAACCCAGCT